AAATATAAATTATTTTAAATTTTTAATATAAAAATAAATATAAGAGAGAGTAAATTTTAGATTTTATTCGATTTTACAGTAAATTTGTAATTTTATGATTTTACTTTCCAATTTTACGGAATTGCAATTCCAACTTAGATTTCAATCTAAAATTATAAAATTATTTGATTTTATGATTTAAATCGTAATTTTGACAACAATGGTTATACTTATCGTCTTTACCTTTCTTTGGATTTTCCTGATGCATGCTGCAGATTTGATCAGATTTCCATCTCTGGCTCCCTATCAATATTTACAAATACATTTTGCAAGTAAAATTGTTATAAATATAATATTACGTAATATTATAAATTTATAATATAATATATTATTATATATTTAATTTTTTTATTTAAAAATTTATTTATAGTATTATATTTATTTATTTATTTAACTTCACATTATACTCATTTAATGTTATATTATAATATATATTTATAATTTTAAATGATATTATTATTATAATATTATTCTCTCTCTAAGTTATTAAGTTTCAAATTAACAGGGGTAATTTAGGTAAAAACACATAAAAAGCCCTTTCATCTATGAAGTGTTAAGTTTCAACCCCTCATCTTTCAATCTAAGGGCCTGTTTGGTGTGGATTATTGGAGTTTCAGCTTTTAGACACTATTCATGTCTCATGCATTTAAATTTTCCTCTTAAATACTTACACTTTTAAATATTTTTTTAACCTCAAAAAGCTCTTAAACAGTAAAAACTCAAAAGTTTCAAATCCAAACTTTTCATAAACTCTTTTTTTACTTACTTTTTCACTTTTCTAAAAGTTAAAGCTCTATTTTCCCTCCAATAAAAATTTAAACTTATCACTTATAACAGTACTCAAAAAACTAAAGCTCCCACGAGCTACACCAAACAGGCTCTAAAACTCTCGACCCTTTACCATTTGATGTGGGGAAAGCACAAAACAGGACTGAAAGTGCTCGCGTGGGTCACGTGCCCGTTGTATTTCCATGAACCCTGATCATGTGTTGTGGTTATTGCCATCAGTATTGTTAAGCGACTAAAATTTTCATTTTTATTTTAAGTAGTGTTTATAAATATTAATTAATTAATTAATTTTAATTTATTAATTAATAAATATGAAAAATATATTAATTAATAATTATAGTTATAATTATTAAATATTTTTATTGATTAGATTAAATAAAATTAATATTTTTAAAATAATATTTTTTAATTTTAATAATTATAAAATGGTTAAAACCCCTTTTTGGTCCCTGAACTATTGTACGGACCCCCGATTTGGTCTCTGAACTAAAACAATCCCTGATTTAGTCCCTATTGTTTACCATTTTTACCCCAATTTGGTCCTTCCGTTAAAAATTGTGTGACGTGGCCTGTTACTTCACGATTACCAGATGACGTGTCATATAGCAATCCACGTGGAAGACCAAAAAGTGATGATGTGGAAAAAATAATAATATAAAAAAATATTATGAAAAATAAAACTTAAAATTTTTTTTCTTTTCTCTTTTTTCCTTTTTCCTTTTTTCTTTCTCCTTCCCCTTTCCCTTTCTCTTCTCTTTCCCCTCGGAGCCCAGCAGGCCTGGGTTCCTTCGAACCCACTCAGGCGCTGGGTTCCTTAGGAACCCAAGCGTGCTGGGTTCGCGTTTGGATTCCTACAAACCCAGCACGCTTGGGTTCCTTGTGAACCCAGGTGCAAAAAAATTTTTAAAAAAAATTTCTGTTTTTGTTTTTTGGATTTTGTTGTTTGATTGTGATGAAAAAATTGATTGATGAAGATGAAGAAGGCATTACTGCAGGTGTTAGGTATTGGGTTCGATGCTGGGTTCGATTTTTCAATTTCGAATGCTAGGTTTTTGCAGGTGTTGGGTTCATTTGCAGGTGCTGGGTTCGAAATCAAACCCAATAGACATTGGGTTTGAGCAACTGCTGAGTTCCTGCAAGTGAAGCTCTGGGTTTCGTTTCGAACCCAGCAGCCGTTGGGGTCAAATATTTATTGAGTTTAATCTGTTGATTTGTTGTGTTATCCTCGAATTTAATATTAGGAATTAGGGTTTGCAGAAGGTTAAAGGAAAGGAAGAGGAAGAAGAAAAGGAAGAAGGAAAAACAAACGAAGAAAAAAAAAAAGAATAAGAAATTTTTTAAGATTTTTCTTTTGTCATCTCATTTTTTTTCACACTGTACATCCTAGGTGTCAAAATGTTTTAACAGGTCATCGTTTTCCTCGTCAAGTAACGGGACACGTAGGTTGATATTTGATGGAAAGACCAAATTGGGGTAAAAATGATAAACAGTAAGGACTAAATCAGGGATTTTTTTAGTTTAGGGACCAAATCGGGGGTCTATAAATAGTTTAGGGACCAAAAAGGGATTTTAACCTTATAAAATTGCTGTCGGTGTTATCACTATGCCCCTCTTCACGTAGCACGCGCGCACGTGTCTTTTTGGCTCGTAAAGGTTGCCACCGTGGCAGCTGAGAGCAGGGAATCTCACCCCTCATTTTAATGTGGGGCTCACATGTCTTTTGACTAAGGTACCTTCCACATTTCTTCATCGAACATTTCCTTCGCAAGTTCTCTCTTTGTTTTTCCTAGTAATGTTGAAACCTTTCGGGTAATCTTGTCTTCCACCTACCCCAATTATTTCGTTGATCTACTCTTTTTTTTGCAATAAAAATATTTCTATTCTCAATGGATAAAGAGATTTTAAAATTTAAAAATAATATAATTACAATACTACCTATTATTATAAAATTATCATGATGATAATGATAAGTTAATATTAAAAAATAATACAATAATAATTTTTTATACAATTTTCACATATTATAAAATAAGTTAAGAAACTTAATATTACAAGGTACCTTCCACATTTCTTCATCGAACACTTCCTTTGCAAGTTCTCTCTTCATTTTTCCTTGAAATGTTGAAACCCTTT